ATATATATATATATATATACATACATTCAATGCATAATCCACACAGTCCAGGACAGAGAGACCTGATACATGGAGACTCAAGCCTTGGACACATGTCACTTCTATGTTGTGGGTGCCAGTTCACAGCAGAAGGGCTGTAGTTCTATGGTCATTGTCCTCCCCCAGACTAAGACCAACAGGACAAACTTGAAGGAAGTGAGGTTACCGATTTGTGACAAAACTGAATATCAGTTGAAAATATGAGATGTCTCACCAACCAAAAAGGTGAGCCAGGCATTGTGGCATTCACCTGACATCCCAGATACTCAGGAGGCTGAGGCAGGAGGATCACAAATTTGAGGCCAGCCTGAACAACTGAGAGAGAGCCTGGCTTAAAATATTTTAAAAATTAGAAAAGAAAGGAAGAAGGGAAGGAAAGAAGAAACAGATTTATGTATAAAGGCAGACAGTACTAGGTTTTGACTTCAAAATAGAACAGGCTCCCATTTCCCTGGAAAATACAAAGTTCAGGTGTAATATTATTTTCAGAAACTCCCTCTCTGAAGTGCTACACCTAGATCAGAAATTAAGGCTGTTTCTCCATTTCTTAGACTTTTCAGGTAAGAGTGGGATATTTCATTCTCCCTGATGTAACTTCAAGCAGCAAAGTTTCTAGTCTCTGATTTTAAAGAATCCAATTTCTCAGTCTCTGAGAAAACTGTACCCAAGGGAGGTGCTTATCTTGATGTTTTACAGCTACAGCAGGTCTGTGGGAAAACAGTCATTTTTTACCTTTGCAGCTGACTTCATCTGTATGCGTCCTTCCAGACTGCTGTATAATTTTGTACAATATTCTTTTTTTTTTTCCTGGTACTGGGGATCAAATTCAGGACCTTGGGTTTGCCAGAGGGGCATGACACCACTGAGCTACATCCCTGGCTGTACAATATTCTTTAAGTCAAGCTTGCTTGTCTTATTACTCAAATTTTCAGTAGCCTCATTTTGTTTCCATATTGATTATCAGAGAGAAGTATCAGGATTTATTTTCTTAATTTCTAAAAATGTTTGCCCTATTTTGTTTGGTTCATAAAGGCATAAAACTAGGGCTAGGATGTAGCAACATAGTGAGTTCATGCCTGGCATGATGAGACTATAGGTTTGATCCTTATCATCACAAAAAAAGTTCAAATACATTAACTTGATAGTTTATACTTATATCAGTAAAAAATATTCCACGTTATCTTTTATTGTTTTTTATCTTGAATTCAATTTTCTGTTACCAGTATTGTTAGCACTGTAATTGGAATAGTTTTATCCTTTTTTTATTGTTTTCCTTTGAGTATATCTCCCATACATGATATATCCAACTTTGGTTATTTATTTTTTTTACTCATTTTATCTTTATCAGGTGAGTTAATTGACCCTGATTATTGTTATATTGCAATATATTCTAGTCATCTGTCTTAATTACTTTCTAGTTGCTGGGATAAAATACCTGATACCTACAAGTTAAAGGAGGAGAAGTTTATTTTGGCTCTCAGCTTCTAGAGGTTTAAGTCATAGTCAGCTAGCTCTGAGACAGGGCAGCATGGAAGAGGGCATGGCAAGGAGAAACAGCAGGAAGCAGGAAGCAGCTCCCTCCGTGATAGGCAGCAGGCAGGAAGCAGCCAGCCTGCCTTCCTTCTGTCCCCTTACATTCCATCCAGGCCCCAAGCCTATTGGCCGGTACCACCCACACCCAGGGTGCGGCTTCTCTCTTCACTAATTCTGTCACCCACCACTATGCTAAACCAACCGGAGGAATAATCCAGTTATTGTACACCCATAATCCAGTAGCACACACCCATGATCCAGCTGCCTCCCAAATGCCCCACCTACGAGCACATGAGCCTTTTGGGGGGACATTGAAATATAAGCCATAACTCCACCTTACTTTTTAAAAAAATGTATCATGCTTTCTTCATGGAATATGATTTTTCTTCTTAATTTTCTTTCTAGCTATGGCAGACAGACTCTACGGTGACCCTCATTATCCACTTTCTGATGCTCATGCCTTCCCGTGGGGTCTGACTGTGATGGTGAATCAACTGTGTCAACTTGAGAATGAGAAGCTCAACTGATTTGGAAGACTCATCCCAGGGCAGCTTATCACCTGCATGGTATAAAGGGAGAAGGAAGGACAGATCTGTCTCTGTTTCTTCGGAGGAGCTCCAGTCTTTACCTTCCTCTTGCCTGTTATCTCCTGGCAGGTACGCTTCAGCCTTCTGGTGCTGCCCAGGACACTGCAGTGGGCTCCAGACCTTCGACTGGATGCTCAGTCCCCAGCGTGTGGACAGACCCTCTGCACTCTTCCTCATCAGACTCTGTGGGTGGCCACCGCAAGCCAATCGTGTAAATTCTCATATATTTGTATATCTTGTGTTGTATCTGTTTCTCTGGTAAACATGGACTGATGTAGCTCCTTGAGTCTGGGCACAACTTGCTTATTACTTCCTTCTAATCAATGGAACGGGGCAAAGGTGACAAGATGTCACTCAGAATTACTTTACCTTACATGAGTTTTTTATGTCTAAATTTTAATCAAAAAATGTTGTGCTTCAATTTTTAGCTAATAAATGTTTATTTGTTTACATATTTAGGTGTTTTTGAGACAGGGTTTCACTATGTATTCCAGGCTGGCCTTGAATTCACTGTGTGGCCCAGGCTGGCCTTGAACTCGCTGTGATCCTCCTGCCTCAGCCTTCTCAGTGCTGAGATTTACAGGCATGCATCAACACACCTGGCTAAATAAAATTTTATTAATTGAAGTTGAACATCATGGTACATACCTATAAATGTCTGAAAGCAAAAAGTTTATTAATTGCAAGTATTATCTCTATGCATTCCTAGATCAATAAAGTTTTCTATGATATATAAAAAGTAGTTATTTTGGGGCCAGGGATGTAGCTCAGTGGCACAGCACCTGCCTGGCAAGGTCCTGAGGAAGCAGCTGCAGATTGCTTGCCAGGAGATGAGAGGCCCTGGATCCAATCTCCAACACCCAAACAATAAATAAGGCAAAAATAAAACATATGTATCACCAAGTTTTCTATGAAATCATAGAAATCAAAGCAGTTTTAAATGAAGTCATTTTCATTTCCTGTCAGTCCTAACCATATTTGTCTTTAATTTGATAAATTTGTTAATAATTTGCATCTCTTTCTTGGAAAGACATGAAGAAACAATGGGCAATTCCTTTTTAATCATTCAGGACGTTTCCGTTGTACTTGATCTAACAGGCAGGAAGGTAATCAAGCATTTGCGCACACGTGGGTCTGTTTCTGTATAACTATCCACACTGCAGCTACTACAAAGATCAGTTAGTCTTATATAAAATATTCTGGATGGCCAGATTGACAGAGTCAAAATACCTTGTTGCAAGGACAAACTTTAAGGTAAATAAATTCTCCTTACATTTTACTACTTGTTTGATCATGTTAAAATGTACAGAAAGTAAACTAAGGGAGTTTTAAGTTATCAGAAAGTCTCTGTACAACTAGAAAAACTGAAGTTTGACAAATAAAACAAAATCAAAGTAGTGTGTACAAAAATTGTATACCCCTCTGTAGATTACTCGATTGTTTCGGAGGACAATGTGGCAATAGGCATAAAATTATACCAGTCTGAAAAGTACAACGAAGTTATTGCGATCAAAACAATAATGGACATCATACAAAGAGGTTCACAGTCTTCTTTATAACAACCAAATTCTAAAAATCATAAATTGTAACCATGGTCTCATAAAACTGATGGAGCCTGGGGCGGGGCCTACTCGAGGTGGGCGGGGCCGGCTCCTGGGTGGTGGCAGCCCGGCCCCTCGCTGACAGCCTGCACTTGGTCTGCGCAACCTAATCCGAGCCTCAAGGCTTAGCGTGCCACGTTTGCCGGCTCTTCTGGCTTAACTAGTTTTTGATGACTGGAAATTAAGGAAGAGGACGTGCTGCCTATACCTTTAATATTTGTGGCTGTTGGGTTTAGCAAAGGTGAGAAGTCATTTGATGTAGTGTTGAAACCACCCCCACCGTTTCCTGTACAGATTATAAATCAGTGCCACAGAAAACAGGAGAAAGGGAACGTCACAGGCTGGCCTGGTAACAGCAGTCCAGAGAAACAATCAAAGAGTGCCTTGTGTATTGAAAAAGCTGAAGAAAAATCGGGCTTGGCAAGGCATAGTAAAAGACACATGAAGGTACAGAAAGAAGGATGGACACCACTTTGGAAGTCTCCCGAGAGAGATGATGCGGGTGGGGTGGGAGAAAGAGCAAAAAAGCAGACCCCAAATCCCAAAACTCAAGAGATGTGTTGAAAATAATCAAGGAATTGGAAAAGACAGGTGACGGGGAAAAGTCAGATGAGAAACACGAAAGGAAAGAAGGAAGCAAAGAGGAAGGTAAAGAGGGTGAAGAGGACCACAGTGATGATGGTGCAGGACAGGAAGAACAGGACGAAGAGGAGCAAGAAGAGGGAAATGGACTAATTCATACTGTGAAGATGGACAAGGTTTTGATGCTGGCAGTGAAACATTAGCCATGAAATTTCTCAAAAATTTTTCATGACTTAGCCTCTCAGTATTTTGGACAAACTTGGTTTGTTTTGTTGTTGATAAGGAATTAATTTTATATATATATATAAAATAATATATATATAAATATATATTTTATTTA